CGGATAAATATTTAGGTCTGTGCTGGGGATGCATCCTGTGGATGCTCGCGTGACCTGGTGGCCTATGAGGAACCCTCTGTCAGGAAATGAGCCCGTTTGCAGTGGCGATATTTCTCTGCTGCTTCCACTTGGCCCCAAGCCAGCTCCCCACCAGTGCTGGGGAACACAGGGACTGGGGAGTGCTGGGGCAGGGGTGATGCCTGGGGTGGGGACACCCCAGAGGAGCCTTGGGACAGGAACCAAATCTCCAGGCTGCGTGGCACTATGAGGAACCCTCTGTCAGGAAATGAGCCCGTTTGCAGTGGCGATATTTCTCTGCTGCTTCCACTTGGCCCCAAGCCAGCTCCCCACCAGTGCTGGGGAACACAGGGACTGGGGAGTGCTGGGGCAGGGGTGATGCCTGGGGTGGGGACACCCCAGAGGAGCCTTGGGACAGGAACCAAATCTCCAGGCTGCGTGGCAGGATCCTGATAGATAATTCCTCTGCCACTGGCGCTCCTTCCCGGCAGGCACTTGGGGTGCTGGGTGTAGCTGGGGGAATCAAAGGGTTTTTTTGGGAGGGGAGTGGGAGGCTGTTCAGAGCAGCGGGAGCTCTGCAGGGCATGTGTGGGAATTAAATTGGCTGAAGGCTTTTGAGCCTTGTGTCCTTAGTGAGGGCTTGTGCTGATGCTCCTGGCTTGCAGGACCCTGCTGGGGTTTCGCTGGTGCAGGAGCTCGGGTTTGTGCAGGTGCCTCATGCGGGGAAGCCCCTTAGTCCCCTGGGCACCTCTGTGGCTCTGGGACCTTTGGGGCAGGAGATTTGCTCTTGGCACGTGGGCTGTGCTCCTGTCTGATGGAGAAGAATTTTTCTTTTTTAAAATTGTTTTAAATAAAAAGTCTTAGAAAAAAAAGAGAAGTTAGGAAACTTTCCCTTCCCTGGCAAGAGCACACTGTTCCCTTGCAGCAAACTGTGTGTGGGCTAAAAGCGGTTGCTCTTTCCTGGCCATCCTGCACCAGCCTGAGCACCAGAGCTGGGGACGCAGTGCCAGCGTGTCCCTCCCTGCCCTGCTGCCTGTGGTTATGTTGAGCAGGGGTACACAGGTCCCTTGTGAATCGGGTCACATCCAGGCTCTGCCCAAGGATCCTGACCCCATCCCACCTGGGTGTGCCAGAGCCGGGGGCATGAACCTGCAGCAAGAGCCGGTGGGAACTTGGCGTGCCGTGTACCTTTGGCCTGGGGACATGCCAGCTCTGTGATTGCTTGGGCGGGGGCGTGTTGCTGTATAAAAGCCCTGGAGGAGACCTTGCTCCAGCAGTACGAGCTCATCTCTTTGCGCGATGGCTGACCCCAGGGGGCCTGAGAAAGGGGGTGTTGAGCTGAGCACCCCTAATGCTGCTCCCTCTGCAGGGACCATGTCCACCCGGCGCCTCCGCAGCGAGGACTACAACGACTACAGCTCCACGGACGTCACGCCGGAGGGGAGCCCGCCTGGTGGCATGAATGGCTTTGCCCACCCCGAGTCCTACCAGCGCTTTGGGGAGACCAATGGGACAACGTGAGTGATGCTCCCCTCCCTCCCTCGCGGCTGGCGGAGGTAACGGTGGGTCCCTGCTGGCTTTGCTGGAGGATGATGGAGCTGTGGTTTTATGGGGAATCCCTCCTGGGGGTGGCAAGAGCAGAGCTGTGGTCCTGCCTTCGTGGGGTGCTGGCATCTCTCTCTGCTCTCCGGTGAAACTGGGCTCACTGGCAGCAGGCAGTGTTTGATGCTTTTCCCAATATTCCCTGGCTCCAGCTAGCATGTCCAGCTTCAGAGGATACCTGGGCACATTGCAGCCGTGCCCTAGGGTCTTCCTTGAGCTTTATTCACCCATGCAGGGAGGGGATGCTGTCTCTGCCCAAGGCAGACAGATGCCTTCAGCTCAGAGACTGTCTTGTGCAGCCCCTCGGTGCTGAGCTGTGCTCACACTGGGTTTTGCCTCGAAGCTGGTTCTGCAAATGCCCACCCCAAAACTGTTTGTTGAGTCTTTGTCTCCAGTCCTTCCTTGGTCCCACTGGGCTGAGCAGGGTTCAGGGGACAGGATCTGGACCTCTGCATGCATTTCCCACAGCATCTTAGAGGTGCTGGACCCTGAGCAGGATGAGCCGAGGGCTGAGACCATGCGTGGTGCAGGCATCTGCTGACCATCACCTCTGTCTTCTCTCCCTCAGGTGGTACCAGACCCTGATTCACCTCCTGAAGGGGAACATCGGCACGGGGCTGCTGGGGCTGCCGCTGGCTGTGAAGAACGCTGGCATCCTGGTAAGGCAACTCCCAGCCCTGCTGCGGGGAGCTGGTGGGGCACAGCGACCTGGGGGCACTGGGCAGCTCGCACAGCCGGCATTGGGGCTCAGCTCCCTGCCCAGATGCCTCTCAGTGCTCGGCGGCTTGTGGGCTTTTGCACCATGGGCTCTGTGCTCACTTTGCTGCTGAGACTGTCCTTGCTGCTCCTGTGTTGTGCTGGTCTCAAGGGGCTCAGTGTGAGCTGGGGCTGTGCTTTCCTCTGCTGGGGTCAGGCAGGGCGCTGGGGCTGTGCCCCCACACCTGGCTGGGTGTTACCTCCCTGGCCCCTGCAGCGTCGGTCCCTTTCTCCCAAAATGCTCCTCTTGAGTGGCATCTCTGTGCCCTGGTCCTCTGGGTGGCAGGTTTAGCATAACCTCCACCTTGGTTTGTCCTAGCTGCTCCGTGCTTGGTGGTCAAACAGCAGCCCCCAGCCACTGTCACATCTCCCCATGGCTTCTATCCCAATGCTCAGCTCCTCGGTGTCTGTATCATGCCCCAGCGACTGCTGTCGGTGTGAGAGGTGGGGGCACCTCGCTGGTCCACATCTCCTCCCCCAGCAATGCAGCGTTCCCATTGCTGAGATTGAAAAATAAAAAGAATTAAAAAATAAAACTTCCTTTGTCCTGACCATGACCTTGTCACCTGTCTAATAGAGATGTGCAAGATAGTTTGAAAAACAATCCTGGAAGCACTTGCTATGTCGAAACTGTCCCAACTTGCCTCTTTTGCATCATTTCAGCCAAGCTCGTGGCTCTCTCTGGGATTACTTGGTCCTGGGGCGCTGGTTCCCAGGAGCAGCACCTGAGCTCCGGTTCAGCCTCCAGCAGTGTTTTGGCTCACAGAGCCCGTGGGGTTTTGTCTGGAAGTAAAACCCATGGTGCAGCTCTGCCTTTGGCCGTCAGAGCGCAGCCTTCCCCTTCTCTTCCCCTGCAGCTGGGTCCCCTGAGCCTGCTGGTGATGGGAGTCGTGGCTGTGCACTGCATGGGCCTCCTGGTGAAGTGTGCCCATCACTTCTGCTACAGGTAAGGAGCGACTCCCCTTCTCGTGCTACTGCTCCTGCAGCTCTTCCTTCCTTCCCAAGAGGCCCATTGGTTTTTCTGAAGCCTCCCAGCAGCAAGTTGCCCATGTCGAAGCCCCAGTCAGGAACCACTTCTGAGCTTTTTCACATGAACTATTTTCCCATTAATGTCATTGTTTCCTTGGGAACCAGCAGACAGGGCTGGTGTGATGTCCCTTCTCTCTCTTTTCTTTGGACAGGTTCCAGAAGCAGTTTGTGGACTATGGGGATGCTGTGATGTACGGGCTGGAGTCAACTCCCAGCGCCTGGCTGCGGACACATGCTGCCTGGGGAAGGTACCTGTCCCCCAGTGCCAGGCAGGGGACTCGTCTTTAAGCCTAGCGCGTGCTGCATCCACGACAGACGAGCCTGCTGGTCTCTGATGAGCACAAGTGACATAAAATGTTATATGGCTCACCTGTCCTGAGTGCTTGATGTCCCCCAGGGGGTAACGTTGAGATCTTTGACCCAGTCCTGTCCCCAGCCAGATGTGGCTTATACTAAAGGGGTGGGTGGAGGAAGTCTCTGCGGCATAAGAAAGGGACAAAATAACACGTACTGCAGTGCTGGCCCGTCTTGTTAGACACTGAGTGTATCTAATGGCTGGTCCCAGGGATGCTGGCAGCCCTGTGGATGTCCCACATCTCATTGCACAGCAGATTTTGGGAACATCCACCTATTCCTGTGTCTGGGGAGTGTTGTCTCCAGCAGAGTGGAGATGCTAAACCTCAGGAGGTGACTTTCCTCCTGAGGTTGGTCCTGACCCTGTGGAGGGGATGGGAGGAGAAAATTGGAGAGCTTGAGGTCTGTGAGGTTAGTTGACGATATGATCCTCTGTCCTGAGCACCAAGAAGTGACCTGGACGTGCTCTGACCTGCGTGTCTCAGCCCTTGGGGAGAGCAGCATTGGCACAGTGTTCGAGTGCAGCCCCAAGCAACCCAAGAGGGCTCTTATTTGTGTGTGGCCTGGCTAACAAATGGTCTTTTTTCTTTTCTAGGCGTGTAGTGGGACTGTTCCTGATCATCACTCAGTTGGGTTTCTGCTGCGTGTACTTTGTCTTTCTCGCTGACAATCTGAAGCAGGTCAGACTTACCCCTCCTTCGCGAGCCAAGGGAAGGCGAGAGGGGCGTGGAGGTGCTTGGGGTGTTCTTAGCTCCCGTGTCACAGCCCTGTTCCCCCTCAAAGGTCTGCTTTCCATAGCTGATGCTGCTCAGGAAGGTGCTGCTCCTCTGCCCGGCTATTTTTGAGGATCAGTTTTCCCGTTCAAACAGGGCAGGTTTGTCTGAGGTTCCTGGGAGTTTGCTCCACGTGCAGAGGTGCTGGAGCTGTCCGTGCTGTGCAGGGGAAGCGGGGTTGTTCCCGGTCAGGGAGAGCAGGAACACGGTGGCAGCAGAGGGACTGTGCCGTTGGTGTCCTGCATGCCTCAGTTAATTGGTTTATTGATACTCTGTGTAGAGGGAAACGTGCAATGGGTGCTGCAACCTGCTGTGACCCTCTCCGCTCCCTTGGACCTGTTTGCATTCCAGCTTCTTGCCTCATCCCGTGACTCTGGAGCATAATTACATCTTTAGGGAAA